CAGTCTGATGTTTTGTGAGGTGAACTCTTAATAAATTTCCACCTTAGTCCCAAGGAACATTTTGCACGTATATGTCATCATTCAGATTTTGTTTGAAGACTAGTAAGGGGACCGTTCTTTCTTAATGATGTCAATTCCATTTTTGAGGAGCTACAAAATGGCTTGCTCTTTGGCAAAAAAAAAAAAAAGATGAAGTAATTGCTGACTGATTTTGTTTCTGGACTCTTTTGGCCTTCTTTTCATTACTGTTTTACATCAGTTTACTTTCTGTTGGAAAAGACGTTGATGTCCTTTCAATGATCCATTTTCTATGTTTTCTTTATAGCTTCTTTGAATAGGTCTTCCAGGAACTGTTGTAATTACAAGAAGTGACTTCTTATCTTTACCTTTCTAGTTTGTTGCTGCTTTTGGCCTCTGCTCTGTATGGTTTATGGGCTGACTGTAAAAAGCCAGATAGCAAATTCAATAATGACTGTGACATTGACACTATGATTATAGACTTTCTAGGTTGTGTTCTGCTGTACCATCTATGAGAACGCAGAATCAGCTCCATGGTATGATGATACATTGATCCAGGACTTTATCAATTAATAAATATTTAGCCTGTTCCAGGCACTGTGCTAAGTGCTAGAGACACAAAAAGAGGTAATGACAATTCCTGCCTTCAAGGAGCTTACACTTTAATGAGGGAGACAATATGCAAACAAATATATACAAAGTAAGCTTTATACGGGATAAATAGGAAATAATTAACAGAGGGAAGGCACTGGAGTTAAGAGGCACTGAGGAAGACTTCCTACGAAACATGGAATTTTAGGTGGGACCTAAAGGAAGCTAGGGAGGTCAATAGTCAGGATGGAAGAGTGAGAGCATTCCAGGCATGGGGGAAAGAGCCAGACAGAATGCCTAGAGCCGAGAAATGGAGTGTCTTATTCATGGAACAGTAAGGAGAACAGTGTCACTGAGTGTCAGGGAAAAAGGTATAAGAACACTTGAGAGGCAGCTAGGTGGTGTAGTGGATAGAGTACTGGCCCTAGAGTCAGGAGGACCTGAGTTCAAATCCGACCTCAGAAATGTAACACTCACTAGCTGTGTGACTCTGGGCAAGTCACTTAACTCCAATTGCCTCACCAAAAAAAATACTCAAAAGGTAGGAGGGGATTAGGTTAGGGGAAAGTTAAATATTTAGAGATGTGGAGTAAACATCTTGACAAGTACTCTCTTAATATTCTATGGGAGGTCTGTATTATTGGTAAAGTTTAAACTGGAAGAGACTAGTTATATTCCAATAGAGAGCATCACAGAAGATTGTATCTTTGAGCAGATGTATTTGACTTTGTCTGTGAAGGATGGTGGGGCTTCTACTTGTTCTAGAATGATGATGTAGAGATAATCAAAACAATCAATCTTTCTGATGTATCCTGCAGCCGTGAAACTGGTCCATATTTAATTGCTTTGTTAACACAAATTTGACTTCTGATAAATTGATGTTTTGGTTAGGAGAGGGCATGGAATAGCTACAGCACAGAAGATGCCTGAGGGACAGAGACATAGACACAATACAATCCCTATTCCTTCCAGCTGCCTTCTTATGGATCAATGGATCAGCAGCACACAGAAAAAAAAATGTCCTTGTATAGGGAAACCCCTTGGAGACACAGAAAATGCAGCTGCATCTTTTGTAAGACTTGGAGAATTATTTGTATTTGATACTCTCTACACTGATAGTAAAATCTGCCCAATGATGGCTGTGTTGTGGTCAGTTTTAAAGTTAATGAGCAATAGTAACTACTCTTTCTTCTCTTCTTCCTCCTCCTCTTCCTTCTCAATATTCCAGCTAAACACCACCTCTGTTTGCTACCAATGACAGCACTTTTTAGGTATGCAATTTATCTGTTCCCATGGTGATTCTGAATTCACCTGGATATTTTGCTAACAGTGGTTGGGATTTGGAGTTGGAAACTATCCAAGCACAGGGAACAATCAAAGTGAAGGCAAAGGGATAGAAAAGTGTGGTGTGTGTTTAGAGAATCACAATAAGATTGGTTTGACTGAGAAAAAGGATGCATAAAGGAGCCTAGTCAGGTTGGTCTTCAGCTGGCCCATTCTTCAGAGCTAGTATTCAAAGCAGGGCAATTCATTGGAATTATAAATGATCTACTCTTTATGAAAGGATACTCATATTTTCAGAATGTTGAAGCATATCTATGAAGGACTTGAGGACTGGGGAAATAACTCTATTTCTTTTCCCTTTTATGCTGTGTAAAATACGGATGCCAAGCTATTTTTGCACCAGTCCTCTTACTTCATTTGTTGTAGAAAGAACAAACAGTCTTTCCCTAGAGCTAGGGATTGCTCATCCATGCGTATAGTAATCGCTGGAAGTGCTGGTGACTCAAAAATGTTCTGGATCAAAATCAAACAGGAAACAAAACATTATGATCAGAAAAAAAAACAAACCCTGAACAACACCAAGACTGGGGGCAGTGCAGAGGGAGGAAGTAGGGAGCAGTATCCAGAATTACATTACGAAAGGCAATCTCTCTGTCTCTATTTTTTGAAAGTTATATAATGATCCAATGAAACCAAGCTTCTTCAGCAAACAAACCTTAGTAAGACTATTTCCTGAATGATTAGTAGATCATTTTAAAGTTCAATCATTTTGAGACCTGGGACTATAAAATTTACAGAACCCACACAGAAGTAAATGGTGAACTGGTTGTAACCAAAGATGAGAAAAGAGCTAACATAAAATTGATTCAAACAATGAAAGAGGATTTTTCTGTAGGTTGTAAACAGCAGAAAAGGAGAAGGATGTGTAACTCTATTTCAGATTTACCATAGGGATGAGAGATATTTCCCCACAATCCACAAGGGAAGGGAACAAATATTTATGATGTCATCACTATGTGACAGATACTGTGCTAAGTACTTTACAAATATTTTCTTGTTTGATCCTCATAATGACCTTATGAGGTAAGTGCTATTATGATTCCTATTTTATAGTTGAGGAAATTCAGACAGGAAGAGGTTAAGTGACTTATCCAATGCCACACAGCTAGTATATGAGGCTGGATTTGAGCTCAGGTCTTCCTGACTCCAGGCCTAGTGATCTATTTATTGTACCACATAGCTGCCTCTGGGAGATAGTGGGATAATTTTGCAGCGAATTCTGGGAGAAAGGTTCTATGAAAGGGAGAGGCTGTGCAAAGGCCTGGTGCCCATTGTCCATCTTGGTGCCTTGTGGACTTGACAGAATTGAAGCCAGCAATCCAAACTAGTACTCCTTTCTGTTCTTTCTTATTAAGGCTCTAAATGTGTTGCTGCTGCTTCACCTTGTAAATATCTTCCCCACCAGTAAGCTGTTGGAAGAGGAAGTAAAGTGAGTCCCAGATGAGCAGCAGCAAAGAATTCTAAAAAGACCAATGCAGTACCCATGGAAAACAACCCTTTTCCTCCTTTCATTCCAGCTGGCTTTGTTTTCCCTGAGAAGCTCTCTTCTCTAAGCTAGGAGATTTTTGATTCACTTGAGATTATTAAAATCTGTTTATGATTTCTCTTGTGAATAAACTTTGAGCTGGCTAATGAATATAAGTACAGTGACCAAAATGGTTTATGTTTTCCTGGAGGGGCAATCATCATTTTGTTAGCTCTCTGTGTCTTGTTCTGTAGTTGGATTTTTCTTCAGTTTTTCCTTCCCAGCCTTGTTCCTGCTCTTAAATATCAGCGTGCCAAGCGTCAAATACAACATAAGAATTTAGTGGCTCCTATTTTCTTTATATAACAGTGAAAAACTTGAGAATGAAAGGAAAGAGTAGAAATGTAGAGGCAGAGGATTAGTCAATATGGAAGCAGATAGGGTGGAATGCTGCCCAACTGTAGTAGAGAACTATTTGCTCTAAATTCTTGCTTCTCCTGGTGAGATGTTGAGATAGTCTATCTGCTTCCTTCTCTAATTCAGAGTCACAGGAGGAGAATATTGTTTCTGTAGCTTGGCCTTCTGCACATGCCTACATCTCATATGGAGCCAACCTTGGGGGGTCATTGAGCATGCCCAGTTTGTCTAACATGAACATAGCAGGCTCCATGTTAGACAAACCAGGCAGACTCAAAGACCCTTCAAGGCCAGCCCCATGTTAGAACTGGATGTGGCCAGAAGTCTCTAAGGATATTGTACTACCAAACCTGGTACAACCAACACTGCATCGACTAGTCACTGTCTCTTGGTCCTATATCAACTGTATCACCATCCAAAGCAACACCTTCAGCATCAGTAATAGCAACATCATTTTGTGTCTCTGCGAGAAAGAACAAAGCAGCGTAGAACCTGGTTCCAATTCTGGGAAGGCCAAATGGTATAAGACGTTTGATGAATGCTGAATCTCAGCATTTCTATCCTGCTTCTCCCTTTTCTGGTGCCTTTCTCTGAGAATTTTCCACAAATAGTCCTATAATACCCTAGTTCAAATTACATGCTGATGGATTCTAAAGAAGGGTCTATGAGCTCCACAGCAATTCTGACCCAGGGTTATAAATGCTTTAAAGTAGTATAGGATTAAATAGAAGAAGAGAGTCTTTCTATTGATGAACTAAAATGATTTAATTTTAAAAAATGTGTTTGTCATTAGAACATTCTCAAAGAAGTCTAAGAATGCATTCTCTAGAAGGGAAAATTGAGAACCTCAGTATATTTGAGCATTAATTTATGTAACTAAGTCTATATAGGTATTAGTATCATAGATTTAGAGCTAAAAAAGGCTCTAGAGGCCATCCAAACCAACCCCTTCATTTCAGAAATGAAGAAATTGAAGTTCAGTTATGTTAATTGCCTAATTAATCTCATGCCTAGTTAATATCTGAAGTGGGATTTGAATGCAGGTCTTCATGCCTCCAGGTCCAGGGCATTATCCACTAAACCATGCTAGCTCTTGAGTCATGTAATGTTATTGGTTCACTACCAATACTTCATGATGTCATTGATATTCTTTTTTTTTCTTTTAAAAAATATGGAATGCTTCATGAATTTGCATGTCATCCTTGCGCAAGGGTCATGCTAATCTTTTGTATATTGTTCCAATTTTAGTATGTGTGCTGTCAAAGTGAGCACCATTGATATCCTTTAAATGTAGTGAATGGACTCCCTAAGACACCAGCCTATGTCAAACCATCATTGAACTATTTGCTGTTGCATTTCAATTTTGTAACTACATATTCAGTTTAATATCACATGATTGTAGATTTCAAATTGGAAGTTACCTTAGTGGTCATCTAGTCAATCCCTTTATCTTACCTGCAATAGTTTCTCTGGTAAGGCTTGAACTGACTGCCTTGTGAAAGTGTCCAAGTTCCTAAAGACCCTAAGAGTTGTATCTCTTTCTAAATTGGGAAGAGACAAAGCTGTAATGAAATTGGAATGGTGAAGTTCTTCCCTCTCTCCCTCTTTAGCCTGGCTTTTAATTCTCTCTGGAGAAGGATGTGAGGAAAAAGGTTTGGAGAGAATGAGTAAGGACAGGAGATTTAGCAGTAGATGGAGGACTCTAAACCTTGTAGAATCTAGAGCTTTCTCCTTTCTCTGGATCATTGCTTGGTAAATTGAAAGAATAGCGGGTAGCAGAGCAGAGCCAAGGTGGTGGATAGAAGGCAGGCACTTGCCTGAACTCTTCCCCAAACCCCTCTAAAGACCTTTCAATGATGCCCTAAAACAAATTCTGCAGTGGCAGAACCCACCAAAGTTCAGAGTGAGACAATTTTCCAGCCAAAGAAAACTTAGAAGGTCAGCAGTAAGGTCTGTCACAGGGGGGTGCAAGTAGAGCACAGCCTGGTACAGGCCATGCCAGCACAGCCCCCAGACCCAGCAAACCAGGAGCAGGCATTGGGAGCCACTGAATCAGTAGCAGCAGAGGCTCCTCCCTGGAGTTTTCAGCCCAGAGATGGTAAAAGGGGCTGAACAAAACCAGTCAGAAGATTTCAGGGGTCTCTTTGCTGGCACTGGGGGCAAGGCTCTGTTGCTTTGCTCATGTCTGGATCCAGTTCACAGTTCTGGGTGGCAGTCGCAGGGCGAAGAGGAGCAATAGCGCACCAGAACTTGTGGTAACAGTGGAGCAGGGACCCTTGTCATATTTCCTGGGCAGAAAAGAGTGCTTGTGGTCATTAACAGACTAGAACACAGGCCAGCAGAGTGATAAACACACCTCTCCTTAGATCATAACTCTTTGGAAGAACTGAAAACTTACAAGTCTCTAGAAGTATCGCTGAAAACAGCTCCACAAAACCCTTGAAGTTTGGGACAGTGTGTCCTCCACCCTGGAAACAGAGCCCCACTTTAGCAAAGAGTTAAAAGTCAAGAAATAGCCTGGAAAAATAAGCAAACAACAGAAAAAAATATTCTGACTATAGAAAGTTACTATGGTGACATGGAAGATCAAAACAATCACTCAGAAGAAGACAGTAAAGTCAAAACTCCTACATCCAAAGCCTCCAAGAAAAATACAAATTGATCTCAGGCCATGAAAGAGCTCAAAAAGGATTTTATCAATCAAGTAAGAAAGGTAAAGGGAAAATTGGGAAGAGAAATGAGAGTGATGCAGGAAAATCATGGAAAAAGAGTGAAAAGTTTGGTAAAATAGGCACAAAAAAGTACTGAACAAAAAATACCTTAAAAAACAGAATAGGTCATATGGTAAAAGAGGTATAAAATATCCAATGAAGAGAAGAATGCCTTAGAAAGTAGAATTGGCCAAATGGAAAAGGACATATAAAAGCTCATTGAAGAAAATAATTCCTTAAAAATTATAATTGAGCAAGTGGAAGCTAATGATTCTATGAGAAATCAAGAAATATTAAAACAAAACCAAAAGAATGAAAAAAAAGAAGACAATGCAAAATATCTCGTCAGAAAAACAGCTGACCTGGAAAATAGATCCAGGAAAGGTAATTTAAAAATTGTTGGACTTCCAGGAAGCCATGATAAAAAAAAGAGCCTAGATATCATCTTTCAAGAAATTATCAAGGAAAAAAACTGCCCTGATAGTCTAGAATCGTGGGGTAAAATAAAAATGGAAAGAATCCACCAATCACTTCCTGAAAGAGATCCCAAAATGAAAATTTCCAGGAATATTATAGTCAAATTACAGAGCTCCTGAGTTAAGGAGAAAATATTGCAAGCAGCCAGAAAGAAACAATTCAAGTATCATGGAGCCTTAGTCAGGATAATACAAGATTTAACATTTTCTACATTAAAGGATCAGAGGGCTTAGCATATGATATTTTGGAGGTTGAAAAGAGCTAGGATTACAACCAAGAATCACCTACCCAGAAAAACTGAGTATAATTCTTCAGGGGGAAAAATGGATATTCAATGACATAGAAGACTTTCAAGCATTCTTGATGAGAAGACCAGACATGAATAGAAAATTTGACTTCCAAATATGAGACTCAAGAGAAGCATAAAAAGGTAAGCAGGAAAGGGAAATCATAAGGGACTTAATAAGGTTAAACTGTTTATATTTCTACATGGGAAGGTGATACTTGCAACTCATAAAATCTTTCTCATTATTAGGGCAGTTAGAAGTATATATAGACAGAAGGCACAGGTGTGAGTTGAATATGAAGGGACGATATCTAAAAATTAAAATTAGGGGCTGACACAGAGGAATGCACTGGGAGAAGGAGAAAGGGAGGGGTAGAATGGGGTAAATTATCTCATATAAAAGAGGCAAGGAAAAGCTTTTACAGTGGAGGGGAAGAAGGGGGAGGTGCACAGGGAGTGAGGAATTGCCTCAAAAATGAAATACTTATAGCAAAGTAGGAGGGGAAGGGGATAAGAGAAGAGGGTGGTGATAGAAGGGAGGACAGATTGTGGAAGTCAGTAGTCAGAAGCAAAACACTTGAGGAGGGACAGGATGAAAGGAGAGAGAGAATAGAAAAAAAAAAAACAAGCAAGGAGAATAGAATGGAGGAAAATACATTTAGCAATTGTAACAGTCAAAAAATTTTGAAGGCCTCATTTTTCAACTATATAGAGAACTGAGTCAAATAAAAATAGAGCCATTCCGAATTGATAAATGATCGAAAGATATTAACAGTTTTCAGATGACATAATCAAAGCTTTCTATAGCCATATGAAAAAATGCTCTAAATCACTTTTTATTGGAGAAATGTAAATTAAAACAATGCTACTACCTCCTATGTATTATATTGGTTAATAGGACAGAAAAAGAAAATGACAAATGTTAGAGGGGATGAAATGAGACATTAGTGCACTCTTGATGGAGTTGTAAACTGATTCAACCATTCTTTAGAGCAATTTAGAACCATACCCAAATATTTATAGCAGCTCTTTTCTGATGGCAAAGAACTGGAAATTTGAGGGGATGCCAATCTGTTGGGGAATGGCTGAACTATTTGTGATTTGTGATTGTAATGGAAATCTATTGTGATATAAGAAATGAGCTAGAGTGCTCTCAGAAAAACTTGGAAAGACTTACATGAACCAATGCAAAGTGAAATGAGTAGAACCAGAACATTGTAACAGTAATAGCAATATTATAGGATGATCAATTGTGATTGACTTAGCTATTCTCAACAATACAGTGATCCAAGACAACTTTGAAGGACTTATGAAAAATGCTATTTATCCCCAGAGAAGGAGCTGATGGAGTCTGAAAACAGATCAAAGCATACTTTTAAAAGGAAACTATTTTTCTTGGTTTTTTATTTTGGTCTGTATTTTCTTTTGCAACATAACTAACATGGAAATATATTTTTCATGACTATACATATGTTACCTATCTCAAATTGCTTGCCTTCTCAATGAGGGTAGGGAAAGAATTTGGAACTCAATTTTAAAAACAAATGTTGAAAATTGTTTTCACATGTAATAGGGGAAAATACTGAATTAAAAAATAAATTCCTCTAAAAGTCTTTTAAAAAAGAAAGAAAGAATAGTAGGTAGTGACTGACTATAGTTACTTAGGGAAGCTACTGGAACAATGGCAAATTTATCTCACTTTCTGTTTCTTCCTTTTGCTTCATCACCACACGGAACAGATGGCATCATCCATTATTGTTTCTCTGATATTTTAATTTTTTACTGGTTATTTGCATATTAAACAATGGTTTCCTAGATAAAGATAAGATAATTTTAATTGGGTCCTGAGTTAATGTTTTTTGATATAGAGAAAGTCACACCTTGAGTTGGCCCCTAGTGGGCAAAGATATGTTTGGTAAGGGAAAATCAATTTCACCTATTCTCCATCTAAATTATCCTCTACAGTAACATCTGCTGAGCATCACACTACTGAGGAAATTAAGGCCCAGAGAGATTAGGTGACTTGTCCAAATATTAAGAGGCATGATAGTGATTTAGAACAAGTCTTCTGGATCAAAATCTGAACAACTGAGTGACTGAATGAATGAAAAAGTACTTATGAAGTGCTCAGTATATGTCAGGCACTGTGTCTGACATATGATCCTTAGCCTTAAGGAGTTTCCATTCTAAGTGGGTTGCTGGATTTGATGTGAGGCTGAAGCACAGTCTGGTATTTAAGGACATCCAGTAGGCTAAATGAGCTCATTTGCAGATACACAGACACTTATCAACTGAGTGGGACCTTGGGGCAGGAACTACAAAGATGAGTGGATAGATTTCTCCAGGGATTACGATATGGATTCAGAAAGACCTGAGTATCGAAGTCCTGATCTCAGGCTGAGTTAAAAAGAGAGGAGTGCTAATCCAGATGGGGAGGAACATATCATTGGCAGCAAGGCCGATGGTGAGATGGTCCCACTGTATTGTTTGAATGGGACATGAATTCAGGACTCTTTATTATACCATGCTTCCTGCCTAGCCTGAGATACCTTAAACTTCTAGACAATCATGTTGTTGTTGTTATTGTTCAGTCATTTCAGTCACGTCTGACTCGGGTTTTCCTGGCAAAGATACTGGAGTGGTTTGCCATTTCCTTCTCCAGATGATTTTACAGAGGAGGAACTGAGGCAAACAGGGTTAAATGACTTGCCTAGAGTCACACAGTCAGTTAGTGTCTGAGACCAGATTTAGACTCATGAAGATGAATCTTTCTTACTCCAGGTCTGGCACTCTATCTA